CCGGAGCTGCGGCCCAGGCCATCGGTGCAGGTACGTGCGGGCCGGGGGGGGCGGGAGCGGGGCGGGGGCGGGGGACGACCCCCGGACGGGGGGGGGGGGGGGGGGCCGACCCCCGGACCCCCTTCGGCACCTGCCCCGGGCGGCGGCGGCGGGGCCCGGCGGCCGCCTTTGTTATTGCTTTTGTTTGGCGCCGAGCACATGGCCCCGGAGCGGCCGCTCTTAAAGCCACAGCTCCGCACCGGCACCGGCASCGGCAGGGCTCCGCGGCGGGGGGCGCGGGCTGGGGTGCGCTCCCGGGTGCCGGTGGCCGCGGTGCTTCCCCGGGGTGTTGCACGGTGAGGCGCTCCGTCGGTGCGCTCCGGGATGTGCCGCTCGCCCGCCGTGCGCCGCCGGCCCGGACATCCAGGGGTCGGGATCGGGTCGCGTTTGGGGTTCGGGTTTGGGAGTCAGGTTTGGGGTCCAGGTCGGCCTTCCGAAGGGGCTACCGGTGCGGCGGGGCCAGCGGTGACCCTGCTGCYGGGGGAGCTGGGGGTGCTCGCKTGGGAACGGCGGGSAAGGGGCTACAGGGGAGSTCGGGGTGCCGGGACGGAGCCGGCGGCGGGTGGCAGCGGGGTGGCAGGACCCCCGGGGCGGGCGGCTCCCTCGGCAGCCCCGGAGCCCGGCTCTGCCCGAGCAGATGGCACCGGGCGTGAGCGCTGGCGCGCTGCTAACTTTGTTCTCGACGGGGCCCGGGAGCCGCCTCCCCCCGCCCTTCCGAGGGGCTGCGGGGACCGTGAAATCTTTCTCTTCGGAGCTGCAGTAGGCTCCGCGGGGTCACGGTCACCCTGCTTGGCGTGGCCGCTGGCTTCCAGCCACTAGTGCGGAGGGAGTCGGGTGTGCCCGGGTGGGACAGGAGGGCGGGTACCCTGTGGATGCTGCCTCTGGCAGGACCGTCCAGCACCCTCCCGCAAGTCGGGGCTGCCGTCCTGCTCTCGGGATGCTGTCCTGGGCTTTCGGGAAGCCAGGCAGCCCCCCTGCTCTGGAGGTCCCCGCGGACAGGCGAACCCGTGGTGTGGCTTCAGTGTTCGGCCGCTGAAATGCTGCCCATCCCCAAGCCCACCGCTGTGGTGCCTGGTCTGGARGGTGCCCGCTGGATCACACAGGGCCTTGGTACCACGTGTGCTCCGAGAGTGAGGATGTGGARCTGGAAGCTGTAACACATCAGAGAGGCTTCTGCAGAATGGGGCTAGACCTCTGCCCTCTGTTGCTGTGCTCTGGCCCCCAGCCCACTTGAGCACACTGAAGACAGGCAGGGCTTCGAGGTGGGGAGAATAAACTCCCTGTGGAGGAACCTCCTTTTCAGGCACAGCCTCTTCCCTGGCGGCAGTCACAGACAGGTTCTTGGGGGGCTCAGCWTGTGGATTTTGCTTTCTTCTTTTCCTTATTCCTTCCAAAACAAAGAGAGAAATTTGCTTTCAGCTTCCACAGTAGTGTGGACATGAGGGTGAAGTTAAGAAGATACCTGTGTGTGGCACAGGTCTTGCCCCAGTGGTTGTTGATACCCATCACCTGAAGGTGACATTGCAGCTTCTCCCTGCTGGGCTCAGACCCCTGCCTCAGCCTCCTCCTGGAGCTGAGCAGCGTTCCCCAGGCTCCAGGTTCCCGGAGTGTCTTTCCTGTCTCCAGTGTCTCTTTCCCAGGGGCACTGAGGAGGAGGTGGGGCTGAAGAAGCTGCTTTGGGAGGGCACCTCACCAGGCTGCAATGAGCTGGATTTAGGGGAAAGTGGGCTGCAGTGCCAAGGCTATGGCTGCTTTCACTTGCTGGCCTGGGCTGTGGAGGCTGAGGGAAGCTGGGCAATGGGAGGGTGCCCAGGGAGGATTTTGGACACGCATGAAGCCAAGGGAAGGCCCTTTTGGGACCTGGAAAACCAGAGCCTGGGGAAACCTAGCCCCAAATGCAGATGTCTCCCATGTGTAGCGCCACACTTCACTGGGGCTGAGGGGTTGAACTGTGTCCTGGGATGGGGCTCTTGCACAGGAACGCCAAGCTGGGTGCAGGAGGGGAGGTGGGGCAGGGCCAGGGCAGTGTTCCCACTGTCCCACTGCCTTAGGGAGCAGCTGGGAGAGTAGAGCTGCCTGTCTGGCTTCAGCACAGCCCATGCTTGTCTCCTGCTCCATGGGGCTGTGTGGCTGTGCCCTGTTCACAGCAAGAAGTTGAAGTGCACMGCCCTGACAGAGCAAGGCCATGAGCCCCGCTGCCACCACCAGCCCCTGTGCCTGTCACCGGAGCAACAGTGTCACTCTAGAATAGGATGTGTAGGAGCTCAGCAACAAAGAGCACCCCCCAGAGCCGCACCAAGGACATGCTGGAAACTCCCCATSCCACTGCTCAGCCTCCCCGGTGGCCAGTGAGCAGCCTGGGATGCTGCCGCAGCCACAAGGCCCTTCAACACTTGCTTTTCTCTCTGCCAAAAATAAGTGCTTCTCTCTCCCTCTGTCTGTATTGTGCATGGGGTGACTCTGGCCATGAATAGGAAGGACAGTAACAAGGTGGGTGGGGACAGGCTCTTTCTGGCCCCTCTCAGGGCTGGATCCAGCCCCAGGAGATGGGATAGGTGCAGCTCTAGGTGGAGGAGCAGCAAGAGCTCCAGCCATCTGGCATYGGCATTCTTGGGATGGAGCAGCAARCTGAGCTGTGGGAGGACAGTGCCATGACCTGCTGTCCCTCCTGCAGAATTCAAGGTGCTGGTGTCTCRCCCTGCCTGGAGTCTGAGGTCCCGTGTGCCCATCTGCCTCCCGACGTCACCAATGCGACCATGGGAACTGGCAGTGAATAGGCGGCCGCCCTCTGCCCCTTTTGCCCAGCGCCGTTTCTCGGGGGGACCCTGCAGCAGCCCCGACCACCTCCGGCGAAGGTACGGGGTGCGGGGTGGTGTGGAGCCCTGTCCCTGTGGCATGTGGGGACGCGGGGCCAGTTCTCTGGTCCTGCTGGGGCAAGGCACCCGGCTTCCAATTGGGCTTAAGGGGGGATAGACAGAGAAGCACATCCACCTGGCCCAGATGAGGGGTCTCTGGGGAGCAGGGGTCTTTTTTATGCTGCGGATACGAAGAGGGTGCTTTCAGGGTGAGCAGAGAAGCTGGTTCTGAATCTGCCCAGCCTGACGTGGCCTGGCACAATGCCCTGAGCATCTCACCCTGGGCATTGGGCTGGCACTGATCCTCGTGTAGCCACCCTGCCTGGGGCTGTGGTGCCCCCCTGGCCTGGGGGGTCACTCCTGCTCTGTTTCTYTCCTGCGGTGGCCCCGCAGCCCCTCTGCCAGGCGTCAGTGGGGACGACGCGACCGACCTCTGACAACCCTGCTGGGCCAGGATGAGCCCCAGCTGCACCCTGCCTTCCCCCAGCAGCCGCACATCCCTGTAGATGAGCCCCGCGCCTACGCTCTTCCCAGCACGCCGCCACGAATGCTTCACCCAGCCGCTCACCCGCCCCACCAGAACCCATTCATGGTGGATCTGCATGATCAGGTAGGTGCTGCAGTCCCAGCCCTGCTCCTAAGTGTGATCCTATGGCGGCCGTGGGTGGGTGTCTGGGATGGTGACATGTCCTGGGGTCTCCTATGGCCACCTGCTGCTGGTACTCTTGCTCTCTGAGCACTTAAATTTTGGGGTCCCTCTGCCAGCTGGGTATGTCCAGGGTGATCCCTGCTCCCAGGGGTTGAGGATAGTCTCCTCATAGGGTTGTTCATGTGACAGCTGTCACCATCATCTCTGGTGATAGTGATGTGTTGGAGGCTCTGTCAGCCTGTCCGTGTGGAGGAAAGAGGATTCCAAAACTCCCTCAAACTGAACCCACACTCCTGTGGAAGCCCATTCCTGTGGCCTGACAGGTGTTTTGTCCCAGTGCTGAGTGCCCAATGTCCTGCTAYAACCCTGTCAGGACAGGGACAGCTCAGCCAGGGCTCTACCCTGACCGTGTCCTTGGCACATTGTCTTCAGGTGCACCAGGGACCTGTCCCTCTCTCCTACACGGTTACCACCGTCACGACTCAAGGCTTCCCCATCCACGCTGGCCAGCACATCCCTGGGTGCAGCACCCAGCAGCTCCCAGCATGCTCAGTGATGTTCAGTGGACAGCACTACCCGCTCTGCTGCCTCCCACCCCCGGTGAGTCATGGGGAATGCCTGGGGAMRGCCTGGGCTCTGAGTGCCCAGARGTYGTGTGGCTACTCAAGCCCACTGCAGTGCAAGTTTCTGGGAGCAGAGGGTCTTTCGACGGCCCTGGGGAGGGGGCAGGGGTGTCTGACCCTTGTGTTTCTGTCTGTCCCCACAGCTGATTCAGGCATGTGCCATGCAACAACTTCCCGTCTCCTACCAGACATTCCCCCCCATCATCTCCAGCGACCATTACATCCTGCACCCGCCCCCGCCGCCAGTGCCCCCGCACCAGCCRCCCCACATGGCCCCCCTGGGGCAGTTCGTACCTCTGCAAGCCCAGCATCCACGCATGGTGAGTTGGGGTGGGGAGATGGGCTGGGGATGTGATGCGCCCACCACCTTGGGGTCTTGTCCTTCTGCTGCCCCTGTGGGTCTGAGCTGGGGGTGGTGGGCAGGGTGCCCAGGTAGCATCGGGGAGGTGTAATTTGGGATGCTCCTCCCAGCCCAGCTGTTTCCCCCACAGCCTCTGCAGAGGATAGACAATGACGTGGACCTGCGAGGGGAGCAGCACCCCATCACAGGCTTCACGTACCCCCCGTCTCACCACGCTCCCACACTGTCGCCCTCCATGCCGCTGCATTACCTCCCCCACGACCCGCTGCACCAAGAACTGCCATTTGGCGTGGTGAGTCCCTGTCCTGTGGAGGGGTTGGGGACGCTGTAGGGCTGGCASGGTTCTGAGTGCCCCRTCTTTCTCYGCAGCCATACCCYCACATGATGCCCCGGCGGCTGAACACCCAGCGGTACCGGCTGCAGCAGGCGCTGCCCCCACCGCCGCCCCCTCCGCCGCCTCCTCCGTACTATCCGAGCTTCCTGCCCTATTTCCTGTGAGTACTGCCAGGGTTATTGTGGGATGCATAGGGCAGTGGTGGCAGCGTGATGGGATCCACAGTGGCACTGTGGTGGCACAAGGGGCTCTGCCCTCTGGGGTGCCAGGGTGGAGGTTGGGGTTTGTGGCCCCATGCTGACTGCCCTGTCCTTCCCTCCCAGTTCTATGCTTCCTGTGTCGCCGACGGCCGTGGGGCCCACGATCAGCTTAGACCTGGACGTGGATGATGTGGAGATGGAGAATTACGAGGTGTGTCAGCTCRGCTTCCCCACAGTGATAGAACAGGAGAGCTGGGGGGGTTTGGTATTGCTCATCTGGGAGGGGAGAGCCTGGAGAGGTGCTGAGCCAGTCTCTGCATCTCCCTTCAGGCACTGCTGAACTTGGCCGAGCGGCTGGGGGAGGCCAAGCCACGGGGACTCACCAAAGCAGACATCGAGCACCTCCCGTCCTACCGCTTCAACCCCGAGAGCCACCAGTCCGAGCAGACCCTGTGAGTGAGCCCGGGTGCACATGGGGGGCCCGACAGGGATTGGGGGCTGTGGCTGCTGTGGGGCTGTACTGACAGCTGCATCCTCCAGGTGCGTCGTGTGCTTCAGCGACTTCGAGGCCCGGCAGCTTCTCCGCGTCCTGCCCTGCAACCACGAGTTCCACGCCAAGTGTGTCGACAAATGGTTAAAGGTACTGCCTGTGCCTGCTGTGGGGAGYGGGGTGGCTTCTTGGGGTGCTGTGGGTGTATGGTGCTGCCTTTTGAGTGACCTCAGTGCCCTGCATACACTGGGAGCTGGGGTCAAGCAGTGTGCTGGGCTGGATAAGTCACTCCTGGGATGTGGCTCCAGCCTTCCCAGTGGTGTGTGGTGGGTCCAGTGGGTGTCGCTCACTTGCCCGTGTCTCTCGTGCCCGCAGGCRAACCGCACGTGCCCGATCTGCCGGGCGGACGCGTCGGAGGTGCAGCGGGAGGCGGACTGAGGCTGGCGGGTGCTGTGCCGCACAATTCGCTAGAGGACGAGGACGCCGGGCCGGGGCGGGGGCCGCTGCCCGCTGCTAGGGCCTGACCCTGCGCTTACCCCCCCTCCCCAAAGCCTCTCTTCGGATGTGGTGAGCATTGAGCAGTCCGGGCTCCCGGCCAGCCCTCCTCCTCCCCGCCAGGGCACGGACTCGGCCGGACGCCTGCCCGCTGCGCTCCCAGGGCCCCGAATCGTGTTGTGCTGGAGGCGGGAGGTGCGTGGCCGTGCCCTCTGCGCTCCAAAGACGCTGTTGTTGCTCCATCACTTTCCAGGTCTTTGTACTCTGCTAGGGAATTAGTGGTTTTTCCCTTTGTCACTATTTTTTTTTTTTACGATAGTTTTATTTTTCTTGTTTCCATTTCCGTCACGTTTTTGGTTCCTTGGCCGTTTGCCCCAGGGGCGCGCAGGCAGCTCCTCCCCTCRGCGTTGCTCTCAGAGGACGCGGGGAGGAGAGAGAAGGGAGCGCTGCGGGTTTGATGCCGATGGCACCCCGAGCCGGAGGGCCGGGCCGGCCCCGGGGACAGCCGGAGGAGGTGGCTGGCAGAGTGCGGCCAAGGTGGGACACCAGCAACCCCGCGGCGCGGCTGGGGCGGAAAAGCCGGAACACGGGAATGCCTCTGTCCCCGGTCCTGCACGCAGCCCGGCACGGCCCCTCTCCTGCCTCGGCTGCCCTGGGGAGCCCYAGAGGGCTCTGCCTGCTTGGGGTCTTTTGCCAGTGGGAGGATGGTGCTGGCGCAGCCCTGGCCCGTCTCCCTGTTCATTCCCCTGTGCCTGGCCGGCACAGCTCCCGGGGCTGGGCTGTGTGGCATCCTGCAAGGCAGCCAGACTTGAGGAGGGAACACCAACCCTGTCCCTGGGGCCATGGGCATGTGGTGTCCCCTATGTGCTACCCGGCCCCGGCTCCTGCTCGTTTCTGTGTCCCGACGACATAAATCAAGGTAGCCCCGTGCCCCGTCCTGCTGGCTGGACGGCGCGGTGTCCCCGGCCGGTGGGCAGCGAGGGGCCGGCTGGGCTGCGGCCCCTAGAGCGGGGGGGTTTTATTCATAACCTTGTGGAGTATTTTCAGTGCTACCCTGGCCTTGGCCTGGCTGGTGCGGGGGAAGCTGTGAGCGGCCCCACCGCCACCGTATCCCCCCTGCCCTTGCAGGGGCTGGGGAGAAGCCGCCACGCCGTCGCCCGGCTCCATCAATCCCGCGTGGCCGTTGTTTTGCATGATTAATTAGCGAGGAGGGTGACGACGGGAGGCGGTGGCAGGGGCGGTGGTGAGAGCACCGCCCTCCCCTCGTGGCGCGTTGCTGACGCCTGGGAGCCTCCGAGCGGACGCCAGCCCTATGTAAATGTTCACAAATATGCATGCATGTCTGACCAGCTTGGAACGTGGTCTTGGCTACGTCTAGCCGGCTGTGGGGTGAGGGGGGTGGGGAGAGGGGTTTTTGTGCTCAGCTGATACTGCCATGCACTGTACTGCACATGTCCGCAACGCCACAGCAGGACCGTGAGACTTTCAGGGCCGTCCCCGCGGGGTCCGCGCCCGCGGCGGCGGCGTGTGCAAGGGACCGGGGTGGGAGGGKGCGGCTCCCCGCGGGGCGGGGGGCAGGCGTGGGGCTGGCCCCAGGCGGCCGCTGGGCCGGGTGGGAGGTGAGGGGACGCGCCCGGCACGTGGATGGGCACGACGGCGCTGCCCACGCCGAGGGCCGGAGGTCAGTGCCAGCCATCGGTGGGCCGGTCCCGTCGCTGCCCGATCGGGCGCRGGGGGACGGCGAGCGGCAGGGGGGCTACGGGCCGGCTCCCCCTCGCCGCCCTTTCCCACCTTTCTGGCGGCCGCCCTCCATGCGGAGCGTCGAGGCCGAGGGCCCCGGCCCGGCGCCACCAGCTCCGCCGCGGCACGGGCGCCGGCACCGCTGGGCTCGGTGCCCCTTGGGCAGGACCCCGGCCCCCTCCCCGTCCCTCACTCAGTGACAGATAACCAAAGGAGTCCCCGGCCTCGCGCCCCCGGAGACGCCCCCCTCCTCCCCTCCCGCCCTCGCGGTGCCCAGGGAGCCAGGAAAGCCTTACGGTCCTTTGACGGCGACTCGAAAGCTCACAGCTCGTGTGCTGCAGAATTTATTCCAATGAGCAGCTAAAAGTATCATTTAAAAAAAAATAACAAAAAGAAAAAATGACAAAAAAAAATACTAAAAAACAATTATTTAGGGTGTTTGTGATTGCTGACTGCGCTGTAGATACCACTGTTTACCAATGAATTCCTGTGGTGGGATAGTGGACTGTTTACTGTTCTATTATACCAGTCCCCGGGCCCTCCGGTGGGACCCCCGCGTTCCCCGCGGCTCCCCGGAAGGTGCTAGGACGTGTGTTCTGTGTTAGAAAGTTTTTATATATATATATATATATAAATATATATATATAATTTTTTTTGCTCTGTTACTTGCACATTTTACAGTTACCTCATTTTTCCCATGTATGTATTTGAAAAAAGGCTAATATATAGAAAAAAAAGGTTCTTAAAGCTCTAAAAGTGTTTGTTTTTTTCCATTCCATTGGAATCATATTGGTTTTGTAGCATTTAACATAACTAGTATGTTGTATTATATATATGTGTATTATACTGATTGAAATTTTTAACAGATTTGTACTTTTTTTAAAATGAAAGTTGCTAGTTCTGCTTGACCAAGTAGTGCAATCATTATTTTTTTTAATGTTGTGGCTGATTTTGAGAGGGATATTCACTAATAAATGTATGATGTATACCAACACGCTGGGCCCAGCTCTTGTCTCCATGGGGGTGAGGGGAAGTGGCGGTGCCAGGGATGGGAGGGAGCTGCAGTGGCTGGAAGAGCTCAGGAGAGAGGGTTGGAGAGCCCGGGAGAGCCTGAGGGTGGGAGCAGTGGATGCTTTGCCCTAGCGGGATCTGGTTCTGAGCAGCCTCACACCACGGCTCCTTCCMGCACAGAGACCCCTCACAGCTTGCACAGAGATGGAAAGTGCTCCTGTCTGCCAGCCCAGGACAGCAGCGCTCCGTGGGTGCTGCCAGCCACAGCAGTGGGACACCTTCCACCTCTCCTCTGTCACAACCCTCCAGCCTTACCCTGCTGGACCAGGGAAGAGGCGATCCCTGTGCTGTGTCCCTGCCACGGCAGGGGCTTGCACTGAGATGACCTTTGAGATCCCTTCCACCTACAGCCATTCTGTGGTGAGTGAGCTTGGCTCCAGAACAGGCGATTGGAGCTGGATAGGGTAGGAGCACTCTCCCTTTGGGCAGCTGATGGCCACAGCCCTGACCGAGCCTTTGGCAGGGAACAGCCTTGCCCTCACCTCTCACACCTTTTCCACCTCCCACTTGTTCCAAGAGGGCTGACGGAGCCCCAGCAGCTCCCTCCCTCCCTCCCTCCCAGCCTGCGCCTAGAGCCGATGCCACAGGAGGTGGCACAGCAGCACCCGCAGCTCTRCCATCCCCCGTGCTGGGCCCATTCTTGTCTCACAGAACAGCTCCACTGGCACAAAATCACCAGTGTGAGGCCAGAAGCTGAGTGCACCCATACTCCTGTGAGCCACAATTCCACAGCAGCTGACTCCCCTCCCTGGGGCACAGGCAGAAAGCATCAGCACAGACATGCTAGAGGCAGAGTTTATTACACTACGCAGGCTAAGAACCCTGGGCAAGACCCCACACGGGTAAGAATTGAACCAGCTCTTTATCAAAAAGTTAATACTATAGTCAACCCCAATCTCCTTTGGTCATTACAAAGCAAGAGAAATATTAAAAGAACAGTATTTATACACAGAGGGAAGCTGAAGAGAGTCTGTCCAGCCCTTTCCCCCCACCCCACTCCCAGCACGTTCCGGTGCTTGGTCTTGTGTCTCTCAGCAGCAGCAGAGTATCAAATCTTCACGAGATGTTGGGTTGTTGGGGTTTTATTATTATTGTCATCAATAAAAGCAATAATTACCAAGAGCTGCCATTCCTGTTCCTCCCCAGGGAGGGCGGAGGGGCAACACCAGCTCCCCCCTCTGTGCCCCCCCGGTGCAGGGGATGGCCGTGCGCACGCGTCCTCTCGCCAGTGCACACACGCAGCACAGCTGGCACAGGCCATGTGGTCTCTGATCCCTCGTTTGTACGCAGTCTTTTAAAAAAAATATTGTATTATAATAATAATATGAATTTCTCTTTCCGTTTTGTGTCTTCTGGAAAAAAAAAAAAAAAAAACGAAACAACAAAACAAACAAAAACAAAACCAAAAAGAAGTGTCAATCGTCCGTGAGGTCCTGCACAAAGAGGACTTCCGTGTGGCTGAGTCCGGCCTCCTGCAGCGTGGGGGGGTTGGGCCACTCCTCTGTAGGGAGGCAGGGCAGGACACGGCGAGGGAAGTTGGCCTCAATCTGGAACTTCTCAGGGCTTTCTTTCAAGGAGAACAGGAAGTCGTGAATCACCTGGGAAAGAAGCACAGAAATAACTGCCAGCTGGGGGAGCAGTGACACAGCCAGAACGAATCCCTGGCATCTCGCGGGGGAAATGTTACCAAATTTGCACCATCACTGCACTGTAGACCCGAGACAGCCATTTCCTTGGCACACACGAAACTGGATTTGTCATAGAGCACTTGGGGAGTCCAGACACTGTTTCTGGCTCTTCCTACACCTTTATTTCATAGGGAGCAATGGAATTATGGAATATTAGGTGTTGGAAGGGAYCTAAAAGATCAYCTAGTCCCACCCTGCCCTGCCATGGGTGGAGAGACCTTCCAATTTTTCAGGTGGAAGAAAAGCTTCTTCCATTTTCTCTCCTCATCGAAGCTGATGGAACCAGGCTCCACAACACCCTCCTTTACCCAGGAGCAGCTCCGCCAGCCAAGGCTCTCAGCAGAGGTCACCATTTGGCTAAGTCCAAGCGAACTAAAACTTTGTTTGCTGAGCTACCTGGACGTCTCTTCACTCCCTTGCTCTGGAAGGCCCCTCAGCTCCGCCCCAAGCTCACCGTCAATGACTGTGTGAAGTGGAATCGCCGCTCCACTCTGGAATCGTTAGGCAGCTTGAAAATGATCTTGACGCTCTCCGGGTCATCGGGATGTGGTTCTGGAGGAAGGCATTCCGACTTCCGCTCCTTCTCCTCCTGCAGCGTCTGCAAGGCAAGGAGGGAGCAGGAACAATGGTCGTGCACTGAAATGACCTTTGTGTCTGTCCCCTGCAGCACCGCTGCTCCAAGAGCCCCAAAGGATGCTCAAACCCCAAGCAAGAAAAGCAATTMCTACTGCAGGGGAGGCATCCCACAGGACACTGCAGCCTCTCCTGCTATCCCTCTGCTCTCACCTGCCGCCGCCTCTCCTCTGCCAGTTTTTGCTGCTGCACTTCCTCCTCCTTCTTCTTCTTCCTCTCCCGTTCTTCCTTCTTTTTGCGCTCCTTTTCCTGGTCCGCACGCAGGGATGCCAGATATGCCTCGTCCTGCTGCTGCCTCAGGACTTGGGTTTGGTTCCTCTCTTCCCTGCAAACATGAGCAGGGAAGCGGTCAGGGCTAACAGGCCCTAAAGTGAGGGGATGGCAGCCCGAGGGCAGACTTGGATGTTGCAAGGACAACTCAAAGGAGAACACAGCAAGTAATGCCTTGGTGTATCAGAAGCTCCCAAAAGGCCAAGCCAGGACCCCACAGTCCCTCACACACAAACTGCTTCCCAAGGGTGGGAGGAACTGAACTTTAAAGGCTTGAGCTCCTGCAGCTTGACAGAACTGACAGCACAAAAAGAGAGTCCAGGATTCCTGTCTCATACTTGAGACTCTTCCTGGTTTTATCTCCTTCAGTTAATTCCTTGCACATAACCAGAACTTGTTACTGGGTCCCCAGAGTGTGGGGCAGAAGAGGGACAGACAGAAGGTCAGAAGTGGGATCCTACTTTGGACACAACCTGTACATYCCTAAGAGCCACCAGGGACCTGTGAGGCCCTACCAGAAAAGCAGCCAGAGCTCAGCACAGCCAGCCCGGGCAGCAGCACGCACCCACCAAACGGCTGTGGACACCAGCTCTCCTGCCTGCAATGCCTTTGCTTCCACTTGGGTCCTGGTGGTTACTGTCCAAGCTTTCCCTGCAAAGCTCCAGCATGCCAAGGGTGTGCTCCAATTGCAGAGAACAGAGTACTCACACCTACCTTTCAGTGGTGGGATTGTGTGAGCAACACGCCTGGTTCCCTGGCTATAGGGTGGCCTGAATTTATGGACTGATGTTCCCCTGGGAAGAGGAGAGCTTACAGAACAGGAGGTGCTGAGCTACATGCCTACACACCATGTCTGGAGAGAGGAAGGGCACAGAGCAGAGCCTGCCTCAACAAGATCTGTGTTACTGGAGCTCTGGTCCCATCCTACCTTTCCAGGCGTTCRGACACCAGGTATGTCTGGTTGGCATCCATGATGAACATCAGCTGATTGATGAGGTCATCAGCCTGGATGAGGCCTTCCAGCCGCCCAACCACTGTCATCCTGCGGTCCTTGAGCATGATCACGGCCAGGAATGGATACGTGTTCTCCCGCAGAGCCTGGGACACTGGSAACAGGCACAAATGTCACTGCCCCATCCAGAAAGGCTACCAAGTGGTACAGCATGAGTGCTTCCCATCACTGAGAGCCAAGGAAATCTCCTTCCCCAGACATTCTGTCTTCCAAGGCAAAAAGGCCTTAGGCTCCATTTTGAAAATGAAAACCTTTAAGTTAACAAAGGAGGAAATGGCTTTGGAGCACAGAGACTGAGGGAAAGAAACAAGCTTTCARGTAACCAAAAAAGGTCCTTTAAGTCAAGCAGGAAGGAAGCAAACTGTTCTGAATATCCATTCAAATTGGCACAAAGCCATGGGTTTAAACTGCAGGAAAAGAAACACAGGTCCATCACAGAAAAACACTTGCTAAGGTGATCAGGCATGGTTTGGACTGTGGGAGAAACTGTCATGAGAGAAATAGCAGTATGTCCATGTTGAACATTTCTGAAAAAAATTATATTGGTTTTGCTGGAGGCAGGCTCTGTCTGAAGCAAGGAATGGAGCAGATTAAGGGCTTTTAAATTACTGCTAATATACAGCTGCTGATCCCCTCCTTAAACACACATGGTACATCATGCAACTTGGGAGCCATTGCTACCAACAGAGCCCTCCAAAAAAATCAGAGCAGCTCAGAGATTAAATGGAAGGCCATGATCCCTTCCACCTCTGCTTTCCAGGCCGTGACTCCAAAGCATTGCAGCAATGAGACAGCAGTCAGWCWGTCTCCTYAGAGAGCTGTTCTCTCAAGCTATCRATAACTGGGAGCAGAACTATGGATCCAAGAGAGACCCAAATTTAGCATGAGAACTCCTGACCATGAAACAAAAAGGGTGGATACAACACAGAAGGCAGGAACAGAGCTTTGGGAAAAGGCTCCATTTGCAGGAAAACCTTACCAAAATGGTGTCTGGCCAGGCATCAAYAGCTCTCAAATACTGTGGGCTTTTGAGGAGACACAGAGACTGGGTGATTAAGATGACTGTCTCAAAAACTGAAAGAATGCACCTAACAAGTCGTTCCTGGCCAGAGGCATCACAGGAGCCAGTGGTAGGGACACGTCTAGCTGGATACTTGTTTCTGCACTCAGTTTATCCCCAGCACACACCCATCAACTCACACTGACAAGGCACTGAAAGTAGCCTGAATGCCCACAACAATGAGCACAGAAATAAGACTGCCTGGGAACACAGAACAGCAGATGTGAAATCAGAATGTACTTCCCTGCCATCCAAACCTT